AACTCCCCGCCACAAATGCCCATCACATGACAAAACCCATTCTGACAATTTGCCCCCATAGGTAAACCACTGCATCCCCAATGAGATAAGAAAGAAGACAGGTGCTTGTTACGATGAACAGGTGTGCAAGGCTGTTAAAAAGAATCTGCTGTGCAAGGGCGCTTGCGGGTACAGTTGTATGGGGGTGTGATGGGTTGGCTGTGGTACAAAGAGTGGTACGTGTGCGTCCGGAGTAGCTTTTAGGGGACGCGTGAGGGACTTGTTTGTTAAGCTCGTTGTTACGGTTGGATGGGATTAGATGGGGCGGGTGGCTATCTGGGCTGGGTGATTGTGATAGTGATAGCGATGTGATGGATATGTGTTGATGGGCTGTTTGTTGGTTTCTTCCGCTCGCTTGGATATAGCTTTCCTGTCACCTTTACCTTTTATCTACGGTCCCTGATCTACAAGCTCACTTCCCTCCATATCCCCCATCTAGCTCCAGTCTCCAAGAATCGCCATCGTGAGAATGCCTCGTCTCGCATCCTCAACAATTCTCTTCTTTGCGTTTACGGCATTCGTCGTTGCGCACCCTCTCGCGGCAACTCCTCCTCTTGACCAGCCGATCCACAATCCCCCGTCTTTCCCACCTATTTACTACAAAGACCCGGTCGCGAACGCCCCTAGGCATGAGGCGCACACATGCAGATACCATACCGGATACAACTGCTAGAGTAAGTCTCAAAGTGTTCCGATGTCAGCTAAGGATACAGCATGCTGCACTAGAGAGGTAACAAAGGGAAATGAGCTGATGTCAATGTAGTGTCGTTGCGATAAAGCTGTTCGAAGTGTTTGAGAGATCGAGTGTTAAGTTCGCGGGCAGTATCTGTGGTGCATGGATGAGTAGCTTTTGGGTGTTGTGGCTTGGACTAGATCGGCTGGTGTTGGGGATGAGAGACTGTAACATTTCGAATCTATACCTGACACTGACTGCTCTGCACGACTATCGAGGAGAGATGAGGGAAATGGAAAGATTGCTAGCTAATGGTCCCGTTCTGCTGTAGAGCCAACAACTTTCGTCATGAAACAGGCTTTTGGAAATCGCTTTACATGATGAAAGTCTGCACGTACTCCCGATACATCAAGATACAGATCGTCCAGCATAACACCCACCCTTCACTCCTGCAGTATCTTGGTGACCCTCAGATTGACGCCGAAGTTGTAGTCCTTGTCAAAAGCCAGACCAAAGTCTCGATCAGGAGTGATGTTCTCGATAGAGGAATCTACAAGCTCCAGGTCAAAGTTTTGAACCATGGCAGCAATAGTGAGGTACATCTCTGCGTATGCTAGGCTAAATTCCGTTAGTATAAGTCTAACGTACTCAAGGATATGATGACTTACTTGATGCCAAGACAAGCTCGGCTGCCCTTCGAGAAGGTAACGAGATACTTGTCGAGGTATTCTCCGCGGGCTTTGGCTTCGATCCACCGCTCGGGCCGGAAGATGTGAGGATCTGGGAATACGTCGGGGTGGTTGTTGAGTAGATACGGGGATGCGCCGATGATGGTCTTGGCAGTGTTAGTTGAGTGAATCAGCAGAACGAGTGTCATACTTACACCAGATGGGATGAGCAGGTCCTTGTAGGGAATAGGCTCAACGACCACGCGCGGAAAGCGGCCTGTGAAGCAACACTGGAAGCGGAGAGACTCGTTGATGACGGCTGTCTAGTCCGTGTTAGTCGTTACGACCGAGTGTGGCAATCGACGACTTACCAGATACGGCAGAGCCTCGAGCTCAGTCAAGGTCGATGTAGAGTGGGACTTCAGCTCCGCTCGCAGCTTCGCCAATATACTCGGATACGTGAGCAAGTAACACATCGCACAAGTCAGAAATCGAGCTGTGGTATCCACACCAGCGAATAAGATAAGCGTGCCCTCATCCTTTAATCGTTGCAGCGTCTTCTCTTCTTCGGGAACTTTAGAGCTGAGGAGCGCATCGAATATCGTCCTAGGCTTGGCTGGCTCCACTCCTTTTTGGCTCTTCTTCAGCGCCTCGATGGAGTATCTCGTGATTCGGTTATCGAAGTCCAACCAGCTGACGATAGACGGGTTGATACGGGTGATCAACCAGGCCGGTATAAGCATCAGAACCGCATCCATGGCCGGGAAGAATTTGCGCAGGTTCAAAGTCAGCGCTACGCCTTTGACGTCTCGCTGAAGCTCACACGGTAATCCAGGCTTATCGAGGTCGCCAAAGCTCTCTCCGTACGCGTAGTGCGAGATGATGTCAACCGCGAGGCTGCCAAACATGAGATGTCCGATGAGTATCTCTTCTGTACGATAGGCCTGTTTCATCAGCGTGACCAACTTATCGACTTTGGACTGGACGACATTCTCGAGATCCGAGATAGACTTCTTGGAGAACATATTGGCAATGTAGCCCCGACGTTGTCGGTGCAGGTCGTGGTCTTTGGTGGAGACTACAGACGTAGCTACGGTTTGTGAGAGCTCGGGGTGCTCTGCAAAGGTAGAGGTACGAGGTCAGTACAGGTCTCACATGCACTTCGTACAGTCAAAACTTACTGTTCATTTTCCTTCCAGCGCCTGAGTAAATCTCGGTGTAGAAGAAGGGATCGTTCAATGAGAGATGGTCCGGATTGACTCGTACGAGGGGGCCTGCGTGCCATTAGCCAATGCTTTTTGTGTGGATTGCGTCTCGTGTCTGGTACCTACCATATTCCTCATGCATTTGAATGACCTTTTTAAGATACTGCCCACCTTGCAGGACGTCGTAGTAGAACTCCGCCAGATATGACGCCGTCGCCCACCACGGACCGGGAAAGTGAGCCAAGGGGTGAAAGAAGACATGGTAGATAATCTTGCTGGACCAGTACGTCAAGGCAACTGCGAACAAGCCTTTGACTATGCTGAGTAGATCAAGCTCCATACTTGAGGCCAGTCGACAGTCGTTGTGCTCGCGTAAGTGTTTGAGGAGGCAAGGAGGACACACAAAGTGCTTAACGTCCGTGGCCGAAAGGACAGTAAATAAATTTTTTTGGGGTTACACGACAATCACACAGCAAGACTGCGCCACATCCGAAAGTGGAAGGGCCCTCCCTCACTGCTCCTTGCCAGCTTTGCGTTTGCGTATGCGCACGGCTATTTTCTCCTTCGGTCGCACCAGTCCAAAAGCCGACTCCCGCAACTCAGGCATCGCTGCATCGATCAAATCCGGATCGCATAGCTGTATCTCGAACTCGTTGAATAAAACAGCCGTAGTCGCTGCCTGCATGGCTTGAAAATAATGGCTAGCAGGGTCGAACGCCATCTCGTCACCGATTGCAGGGACCAGCAGCTCGAGATCTTGCGTGTCGAATCTCGCCTCATTCATGCTACTGCGGCTCTTTCGCTGACCATGTGCCTTTGAAGTGTCTTTCTCAGGGATCAAGAAGCGCTCAGCCCAGAATTCCTCCAATGGTTTTTCGACGGTGCGTGGCCGCGCCTTTGCCCACACTTTCGTGTTCAGTGCGAGATCTCGCGAAAACGAAATTCCATTGCAATTTCTGGGAAGTGTCCACTCGCTGTCAAGGGCAATATCAGCAGTTATGGTATATATCGTATACCTTGCCACACGGAGACGGCTGACCTCTGCCTGTAGAGACTGGAAGAGGGGCCTAGCTAGAATCCCATTCACATCATACGCGGCCGCTTTTGCTGACTTGCTTGTGGAGACCATCGCAGTGATCTGCTCGGCTAGGTATGGTTTGCGTAGCAATTCGATCGTAGTCCAAATAGCGCAAGGGATCAATTCCACATTCGAGCTATAATCATGTCAGCACAACTGTACGAGCCACGGCAATATAGTTTCACGGGGCATACCTACTAGTGCATTACGTCTAACATCTCCGCGATTCTTGCCTCGAAAGGTAGCTGTTTGCTCGCAATCATGTCATCAAGTTCTTGGATGAACTTCGAACCCTTATACTCGTCCAGATCTGTGTCATCGGGTCCAGTCTTCGCGAACTCGGTGCCACTGTGATTGACTTTCAGCCACTTTTCCACGCCCTGCCATAGCCGTTCGAGCGGCTCTTTGTAAGGTGCAGGTCTAAACAAATGTTGTACTGATAAGTAGTCTTGAATAGCGTCTTCGAACTTCCAGTAGTCTTTTATGAGGCCAGGATACTGTTTGAGCATGGCGGAGCCAAAGAGCAATTCCAAAGAGCACCTTGTAAGGACTTGCTGGAGGAACGACCAGACATCTTCTATCTGGGTCCAGCTGCTGACTTGAAACATCTTATCGTTCATGTTACGCGATAAGATATCGGTATACAGGTTGGTCATGGTGGCCAGCGAGCTGCCTTCCAGATACTTACGCGTTGTCACGCCACGCTGAGTTATCAAAAAATCTTGCGCGTTGACCGCGGCATCCTTATACTTCTTCCTAATGTCTCTGCGATAGCCTAGAATAACTTCGTGTATATTCCTCCTTGTGACGACTCCCCTACATGCTTGCATGACCTTCTTCGTGTGTTCCGGGTCTCGAAGAACGGCGAAATCCAAGACGAGGAACGGCGCGAAATGTTCATATTCAGCACTAAGATGTGTCAGTACTCTTCCAATTACTACCACACAATAAAATTTACATCAGCTTCGCGAAGTACTTCTGCTGTCCGTTGAGAACGAAACCGAGATAATGGGAAGCTATTGGAACAGAGTAGGGAATCGATGGTGGTAATTTCCCTGACGCCTCCTTGTCCTTAAAATCTGAGTAGAAAATCCAAGTTGTAAAATAGTAGATCAAGGCAGGTGCGACGATCAGCAGGGCGAATATGAGTACGAGGAGCAACATTGCGGCTGTGATGGAGATGGGATGGATCGAGGTACCTCCAGGGCTAAGTGAAGTTTGACGAGCGCGCTATCTAAATGGGGTAACGTCCGATTTTCACGCGTCGCGCTAGTCCCCGCGATCCAATGCACATGTCCACCGTGATGGTCATCGCAAACCCACCCAACACTCTCACAATGGATCGACGCGTGCCAAATGCGAGGTCGAAACAAGGCACTGTCGTTGAACAGAAGCATAGATTTCTCCAGACCAGGAAACACATTCTATCGCGTTCGATACCGCCATCAGAACGGTTGCGTACTCTTGCGCAAGATGGTGGCATTGAACTCAGTGTCATGAAAGGCGTGCTTGATAAAGGTATACAGGTCTCACCCATAATATTCTGCGAACCAGCACTAACACCATGCAGTCAACCGCGACCTAAAACAACACTCCCGAAAAGTCTACAGCCGCCAAATGATCGAGCACGTCGTCGAGCAAATCGACATCTTATACTGGGACTCCGGCGCGCAACACGCCGACGACGACAACGAAGACTCGCACACTTCCTCCTCCTTACCCGAAAACGACGCGCACACCCTCTACCAAACCGACGACCTAACCCTCGACGAGAACATCGCAAAACTCCCAACCACATGGCCCGACCGCGACGCCGGAGTCACACAGGACGAATACCTCTCCTCCGTCTCCCGCCTCCAAGAACTCTCTGCATACCGACAGACACTTCAGAATCGGCTTGATACATACCGTACGCTGCTTTCGCTGTTAGAGCCGTACCGCAACCCGAAGGAGAATATACAGCCGAATCTGGTGTGGAAAGATGCGCCGCTTGCGTCGGAGTTGGCAAAGACGCGCACGCTGGCGATACGGGTTGCGGCGCGTGTGGAAGAGAAGTTTGGGGACGTGCAGGTTCCTTCTACGGCGGAGGATGAAGAGGATGTTGATATGGAGGGGCTGGATAATGAAGGAAGGCGGAAGGTGGATGCGGTGTTCGCGAGTTGGTAAAACCCTCAGAGTTTGCTCAATTCGCTTTTCGGAGTTTGGTTTGGCGTTTGGATATGATACCCTGGGTTTATCACCTCTTACATTGACAGACAACTTTTACAAAAGAAACAGGTATTGCGAAGCTATTGATACAGCTAAGACCCACCTCCCACCTTCCCCCTCTCCTCCACCGTCCTCGCAATCTCATCTCCCTCATCCGATCCCATCTTCTTGAACCCCTCGACCACACCCTTCTGATCCCCAACCCCCATCTCCTGACTCATCTTCCACTTCCCCCCTATATCCGTTATCTCAATCTGCACCCCAATAATCGCCTTCTTCAATATCTCAATATAGCTCGATGGCGCATCGTCAACCTCCCATGGCTTCTCGTAGCCCATAATCCCTTTCTCGGACTGCATCGACAGGTCCCGGATTTGTTTGTCGAGGAAAGAGCCTGTGGCAACGGCTTTTGTATCGTGGAAGATGGTGGCTCGGCCGTAGACTTGGATGGCGGAGTAGTTCCAGGTGGGCACTACTTTGCCGCTTGCTGGTTTCGTCTCGGTGTAGAATTTTGGCGTGACGTAGTGGTGGGCTGGGCCGTTGAAGAGGATCATGATGTCGCGTGAGAGGGTCTGGATAGGCTGGTCCGTGTCGGAGGTGGTTTGCGATTTAAGGTGTTCGATTAGGACTTTGGCTTGGGGATTGGCGCGGGCGATGTGGCCGCGGAGGACGCCGAGATGGGTCGAGTCAGCTTTGGGTTCTTCGGCGTCCAGGACCCAGGGGATGTGGCTTGATTGGAGGAAGGGGAATGATTTGGATTCGATGGCTGTGGTGAAGATGCCCAGTGGGTTTGCGCGGATAAACTGGTGCAGCTTCGCGACATCTGCCTCGGCGTGGACGGCACGGAGGTACATCGTGGGTAGACTAGAGGTTGATGGTCTTATCCAATGTTCACGTGTTGGTTGTGTCGGTTCTGTCGAATTTGAATGGTCTTAGGATGTAATTCGTTTGCGGGTTTCGGGCATGGTCTGTCTTGTAGCATCGACATGTCGGGCGTTCTATACTTAGGCATGTTCGCTGCCTTGTAGGGCGTGGAAAGAACGACATGGCGTCTACAGCGTGTAACCAAAAGGCCTACCCAAAGATTATTTGATGATACGGAATACGTGAGGGCTAGAGCGCGGAAACGAAAGGACGAAGCGTGTCTATCCGCTGTTTGCCGGGCGAGAATTCAGCTGTAGTACGGTAAACATACCCACGTTGGGAACACTTTCCATTCTGAGAAGTTCAGTTGAGTAGAACACAACTGACATGCGATAGCCACGGCCTAGTCGCGTTGTGTACTCAGCACTGCACCTGATGGAGCTTGCCTAGGGTGTGACCCAGGTGACGTCATTCAGGTCTTGCCAGTACGAAGCGGCACGTTATACGGCGTCCTGTCTCTTGTAATGACCGGGGATTTTCGAAACTTTATCGCTTTAAGTCTGACAGCTGAATCTGGTCTACGAGACCTGAGTACAACTAGCATCGTAGATGTCGAGAAGCGAAATACCGAGCCGTGTTGTCGGAAATGCTCCGCACGCAAGGTGGGGTTAAGTCCTGATGCGGTAGGTGCAAGCGACTATCCTGATAAACGCAGTACGTATGAGCGTTATCATCGCCCTTTAGTCCGGCGCCAGTATCGGTACAGGTGTCTCTCTGAGCATTAGACAGACTGTGTTTCATACCAAACTTCTGTCATCGCCGCAAACAGCGCACGCACATCAACAATGGGTTCAAACTGGGAGCAGCTTGCTGCCGACAAACGAAAGCGCATTGCCGAATCTATCCCCTCAGACTGGTTGATCCGAACACCTCCGAGCGACAACAATGTGTTTGCGTATCCGAAGGAATCAGGCCTGCTTTCTGCAAAAGAAATCGAAATAACCGAGTCATCGGCGACTGACCTCGTCGCACAATTGGCACAGGGCAAGCTGAAATCGGCTGATGTCACGCTTGCGTTTTGTAAAAGAGCTGCTATAGCACAGCAACTGGTGAGATTAGGATCTAGGGTAGGTACAGATGCATCGACTAACGACTTGTCATAGACGAACTGTATACATGAGTTCTTCCCCGAAGAGGCTCTTGCACAGGCGCGTGGTCTAGACGAGTATTATGCTAAGCATAACAAGCCCATTGGCCCTCTGCATGGGCTTCCCATTTCGCTGAAAGATCAACTGCGGATTAAGGTATGAAACTGTTCTCTTCTCATCTGTGCGGCTCTCTCTGGGTAAGCACTCAATGCACAACTGACACGCTCGATCAGGGAAAAGAGACATCAATGGGTTACGTCTCCTGGCTAGGAAAGTACGATGAAGAAGACTCTATCCTCACGGCACTTCTCCGCAAGGCCGGTGCCGTCTTTTACGTCAAGACAAGTGTCCCGCAAACATTGATGGTTTGCGAAACAGTCAACAACATCATCGGCAGAACGACAAACCCACGCAACAAGAACTGGTCGTGCGGAGGCAGTTCAGGTGGTGAAGGAGCTATGATCGGTATTCGTGGAGGCGTTATCGGTGTTGGCACCGACATTGGCGGCTCCATCAGGATTCCATCGGCTTTCAATTTCTTATACGGCATTCGTCCGAGTCATGGCCGTATGCCGTATGCGAAAATGGCAAATAGTATGGAGGGACAGGAGACTATTCATAGTGTCGTTGGACCCATAGCGCACTCTGCAGCCGGTAAGTGGATCTAGCCAAACTCGTGTCAATAGATAGACTGACTATTCAGACCTGAGGCTCTTCCTCACTTCGGTGCTTCAGCAAGAGCCCTGGAACTACGACTCCAAAGTCGTCCCAATGCCTTGGCGATCTGACCTGGAAGATGCTGTCAAAGCAAAGTTGGGTTCATCTGGTCTGACTATCGGATACTATAATTGTGACGGCAACGTGAGTTTCGTAGAACCACGGCATGATGGCGTTCGCTAAGAGTACAGGTTCTCCCACATCCTCCGGTACTGCGCGGGATTGAGCAGGTAGTTGAAGTCTTGAAACAAAACAAACACAAAGTCGTGCCGTGGACCCCATACAAGCACGACTTTGCCCATGATCTCGCTAATAAGATCTATGGCGCAGATGGTAGCACGGTAAGATCCTCGAAATTGATTTCACGCAGTTCCGCATAGCTGATCGTTCAACAGGATGTGATGAGGGACATCAAAGCTTCCGGGGAGCCACCAATCCCTAACATCAAAGAACTCCTCAACCCTGATATCAAAAAAGCCGACTTGAACGATGTATGGGACATCCATCTACAAAAGTGGGACTACCAGATGCAGTATCTCTCCAAATGGCGGGAGGTCGAGGCTGAGCTTGGATGCGAACTTGACTGTATAGTTGGACCCATCAGTCCAACAGCTGCCATCCGACACAACCAGTTCAAGTACTATGGCTATGCGTCTGCGATTAACTTGCTTGACTTTACAAGCGTCGTCGTTCCTGTTACTTTTGCGGATAGCAAGGTTGATGGCAAGCGGGCGGATTACAAGCCATTGAGTGACTTGGATGCGAGTGTTCAGGCGGAGTATGACCCTGATGCGTATCATGGCGCGCCGGTCGCTGTTCAGGTGATTGGCAAGAAGTTGAGTGAGGAGAAGACGTTGGCGATTGCGGAGGAGATTGGGAGGTTGTTGGGAAATGAGGTGACGCCTTGAGGAACAGTCGAATACAAATGTACACGCATTAAGACAAAAGAAAAGGCGCAAGTGTCAAGACGAATACTAGAAGTCTTCAGAATAGTGCAAGCTATGGGCTGGTTGATCTGCACGTGTGGCGTGAGTGTTGAAGTTCGGCCAATTGAGTCAAGGGCTCGGCGTGCGCCTCAGTGTGGCGCTGGCGCGTAGCTCTTCATAGAAGGTGGGAACAGGCTGGCGCGTGCGCAGTCTAATACGGCAATACGGAGCGGATTCCTGGTAGCAGAACGTCATCGAGGACGGGGAGGGATGCTCAGATCGGATCCATGCATGTGCCTCAATCTTAATGCTCCTTACCCACAGAGACGGGTCGCACAACAGATGCCATCGTGAAAGCAGTGTTGTTCTGCTGCGCGCAACAAAATCACTGTGTCGCTGTCAGCCTCAAAGAGAAAGGGCCTAGGCCAAACGGCTGTGTGTAGTTTCAGATTAAAGACCAGGCCAGCGGTTGTTTGGCTCAAACGGCGGGCGGTTGGCAAAGTAGCGCGCCCACCAGCGCCAGTGACGCCGCCAAGCCCCCGACTGACCGCGTATCAGGGAATGCGAGGGTTGAAACACGTCGCCGTGTGCGCCATGCCAGTCACCTCCAAGTTCATAATGAACCCTCTCTTTGACGTTCTCATTCACACCCTCTGTGCGACTCTACTGCCCTAATAATTATCTGCAACCGCAAATAACAGCGGCTGCTCCTCCCTGCCCTTCTTCCATGGCCATCTGCGCTTAAGACAGGGGTTCCGCTTCACAACTTGACCGCATACGCGACCTGCACCGCTCTGAGCCATGTCCGACCCCAACAAACCATCGCCAGAGTCGCGGCGGAACCAGAGCATCGAGAACTTCGCCGCGTCGCTCTCCACTGCCGCCGCCATTTTTGGTATCCAGATTGTTGTTTTCTTGATTCTGAGTGGCAACTGGAAGCTGCACAAGGGAGTCACCAAGAAGAAGACCGTAGATGATGCAGACCAGGCCGACAAGGCGGCGGCACGACAGAGTCTGTTCCACAAGATATAGTATGCGACGCCGCTTCCCTGCCTACATACCCCCATGTGCTAACCGTTGCCAGCTACTACAAGACCGCCTTCGTTCCCGTAGCCAAGCGCATCGCAGCGCCCACGACCGCCATCGACTCATTCCGCAATGTCTTCACCATCAGCGACAAGGAGCTTATCCGCGTCGCCGGCGTTGATGGCTACCTCTTCCTCCAATACCTGCAGCTGCTGCTCCGCATCTTCATACCCATGGCACTGATTATCCTGCCTGTCCTCCTACCCATAAACCGAAA